GAGATGGTCATTTTATACTCATAACAGGAACAATTCATCAGGAGTAAGTTTCAATCCTGAATATCTATGCCCCTAATACAAAGGCACCCACTTATGTAAAAAAAACACTTCTAGAACTCAAGGCAGTCATCAAACCACACACACTAATTGTAAGAGACTTCAACACACCTCTCTCACCAATGGACAGGTCAATCAGACCGAAACCTAACAGAGGAGTAAGAGAATTATTGGAGGTATTGAATCAAATTGACTTAACAGACATCTATAGAACATTCCACCCAAATAGGATAGAATACACCTTCTTCTCTGCAGCTCATGGAACCTTCTCAAAAATTGACCACATACTCGGTAACAAAGCAAACTTCCACAGATACAAAAAAATATTAGTAACCACCTGTGTCTTGTCAGATCACCATGGATTAAAGTTAGAATTCAACAACAATGCTACCCCCAAGAAGCCAACAAACTCATGGAAGTTGAACAGTCAACTACTAAATGACCCCTGGGTCAAGGAAGAAATAAAGAAAGAAATTAAAGTCTTACTTGAATTTAATGAAAATAAAGACACAACATACTCAAACCTATGGGACACTATGAAAGCAGTGCTAAGAGGAAAGTTCATAGCACTAAGTGCCCAATTAAAGAAAATGGAGAAAGCACACATTGGAGATTTAACAGCACACCTGAAAGCTCTAGAAAAAAAAGAAGCAGATTCACCCAGGAGGAGTAGAAGACTGGAAATAATCAGACTGAGGGCTGAAATCAACAAAATAGAAACACAGAAAACAATCCAAGGAATCAATGAAACAAAAAGCTGGTTCTTGGAGAAAATCAACAAGATCGACAAACCCCTATCCAAACTAATCAAATGGGAGAGAGAGAACATGTAAATTAATAAGATCAGAAATGAAAAGGGGGATATAACCACAGACCCAGGGAAAATTCAGAGAATCATTAGATCTTACTACAAAAGCCTGTATGCCACAAAATTGGAAAATGTGAAAGAAATGGACATTTTTTTAGATAAATACCATATACCAAAGTTGAACCAAGATCAGGTGAACAATCTAAATAGACCTGTTAGTCATGTGGAATTAGAAGCTGTTATCAAAAATCCCCCTACCAATAAAAGCCCAGGACCAGATGGTTTCAATGCAGAATTCTACCAGAACTTCCAGGAAGAGCTAATACCTATACCCCTTAATGTATTTCACAATATAGAAAGAGAAGAGGAAGGATGAATATGGGAGCAGGGAAGTATATATCTCAACTAAAAGAGTCATTTTAGTGTTTTCAAGATAATTGATTCTAGAGGAGTTCCCAGGGCCAAGGAGAAGTCAGCAGATTTTTCCCTGGGCAGCAGAGGAGAGGGTGCCTGAACTGGCCTTGGCCCATAACCATACTGATGAATATTTTGCATATCACCATAGAACCTTCATCTGGTGATGGATTAAGATAGAGACAGAGACACATATTGGAACACTGGACTTAACTCCCTAGATCCAAATGAGAAGCAGAAGGAGGTAGAACGTGAGCAAGGAAGGCAGGATCAGAGGGAACCTTCATCCAATGATGGATGGAGATAGAGACGGAGACCCACATTGGAGCACTGGACTGAGCCCCCAAGGTCCAAATGAGGAGCAGAAGGAGGGAGAACATGAACAAGGAAGTCAGGACTGAGAGGGATGCCTTCACCCACTGATACAATGGGACTGATCTAATGAGAGCTCATCAAGGTCAGCTGGACTGGGACTGAATGAGCATGTGATCAAACTGGATTCTCTGAATGTGGCTGACATGGGGGCTGACTGAGAAGCCATTGACAATGGCACTGGGTCTTATTTCATCTGCATGTACTGGCTTTTTGGGATCCTAGTCTGTTTGGATGCTCACCTTCCTAGACCTGGAGGGAAGGGGGAGGATCTTGAACTTCCCACAGGGCAGGAAAGCCTGACTGCTCTTAGGACTGGAGAGGGAGGAGGAGAGGGAGTGGGAGTAGTGGGAGGGTATTGGGAGGAGGGGAGGAAGTGGAAATTTTTTTTTGTAAAAAAATAAATAAGTAAATTAAAAAAAAGGCAGAAAATTTCTTTGATGGAATCCAGCCTGCTTCCATTTTCAAAGCTGTACAGCCAGTAGAACTAGAAGGAACATGTGCCCATCTATCAAATAAAAAAAGCTAGACTCTGACATGATCATAAAAGATGAAAATCTTATGAGAAAAACTTGAGAAAATGTAGCAGGAACTCGTGCTATTCTCCAATTTCCAGAGTTTGAAGAGTCCAGACATAAGAAAATAAAAATGTAAAAATAAAGAAATATAAAGTTATAAGTCTAGGAGAATAAGAACAGACTATCAGCAGCTTTCTCAGCAGATCAAGGATCATTCATTCACAGTGAGCTATTTTCTCAGATGCTTGGGAAGCATAGGTCATTTTACAACTGGCTGTTTTATTTACAAGGCCAGAGTGTCTCTCTACAAATTAAGAGCAGTGTCCTGACCATCCTTAATAAACAGTAGATGTGAACTGAGTTTAACCTTTAGGAGACAGAGATATGTGACCTCTGGGTCAGACACCGTCTCTGTTATGGGAAACTGGCACCACCAGAGGAGAGGCATGACCTCAGTTTACACCCGGAGGTACCAGGAGACAGTGGATAAATAAAAAGGTTTAATTAATGAGCTCTGATAATGGAGATTATAAAATATGACAGTCAGTATCTGAAGATTTACCTGAAAACAGTGTAAAAGGTTTATCCTCCTAAATTCTCAGCCCAGAAACCAGTTAATTCCAAATTCTTCCTAGACATTAGCACTCACTCCCCTCCCTAGGGTCTCTGCTGACCAACCCAAGGGTCAGGGCAAGGTTGTAAAGATTCCTTTACCCAGACCTAATGCTTGGTGTCCTAACTATAAAAGGTGGGGTAAAAAACTGGCCTTTTGCCACAGCCTAACAAACACCATTTCTGGCTGTGGTCTCAGCTAGCTGATAAGCTTCTGTGCCCCGCGGTGTTTTATTTTTATTTTTTATTTTTAAGTTTGGTCTGGTTTTCCTAGGATCTGGTTTCTGGAATAAAGTTTGCTTCTGGTTTATTAGACTTGGTGGTGTTCTCATCTTTGTGCGACCCCCCTGGACCCAACAAGTTCACAGAGTTCACTCTGCCTTCTAAGTGATGGAATGATGACAGTAAAGGTGTTTGCTTCTTTTTCTTGTATATTTAGTTTAATTTTAAATTTATTCAAATGTTTCTGTGTGTGTGTGTATGTTTGTGTGTGTGAGAGAGACAGAGACAGAGACATAGAGATGGGGGGGGGGTGTTGAGTATAAAGGTATACTCCAGACACTTTCTAGGTCATATGTCAAAAGTTTTCATTATGAAAACAAAAGTCAATAAACATCTGTGATCTTTTTCTTTATTTGTTTGTTTGTTGGTCTGTTCGTCCATTCGTTCATTCATCTGTTCACATATTTGCTTTATTTATTTACAGTGGAATAGTTCAGTTTGGGTTAGGAATCAGTAAAGAACAATCCATCAGAATGGTAGGTAGGAAAGTATCCTGGGGAAAGAGTAAGACCTCATGTCCTTCCCTATTGAGAGGGAGCATTCTGAGGGGAACAGGTCCGAAGGCAAGACTAAGATAAGAAACCTTAATTTCAAGTGCTGCCTGCTTCCCACAAATCCTTTCCCCAAAGTCAGACATTTAGATAAGAAAGGGTCTCCATTCACTCCCTTTTGAGGAACTTCAGGCCCTGACATTAACATATGGCTGGGGCCTATTGGTAAGGTCAATGCTAGCTACACTCCTCAGCCAGGGACCTGAAACCACACCCCAGTTCACTTCTGCTGGCAGCCATTGGAATTCATTCTCAGATCCTGCAGCCTCTTCAGGCCACAGACCATTTCTTTTAGAAATCCCTTCCCCACCACCCACATATGTCAGATAAATAAATACTCACCAGCAGAAGCTTTAAAGCCGCTTCTCAAAAATTATTTTGATTTTTTTTCTCGAGACAGGGTTTCTCTGTGTAGCATTCCTAGCTGTCTGGCCTTGGACATACAGAGACCAGCCTGCATTCTTTGTGGAGTTTGGGGTTATAGCCCTGTGCCTCCACCAACCAGTTCATTTCTTTTTTTTTCATTCCAGGTTATTTAGTTTAATGAAAGACCCCCAATATCGGGGAGACTCTCACTCAAGCCTCGGGATGACGCGACCCCCCTCCCCCTGCCATAATTCACGAGAGACCATCCTTGCTGCAATCACATGAGGTTTAATTGATGGGAAGACGGGAACCAGTGCACTGAGGCCAAGACTCATAACCCACGCAGGGGAAGAGTTCGACCCCGAGTAGCTGGGAGAAGGGGTTTTTAAGGGAAGAAACCACAGCCCAGTAATCCGAAAGGGGCAGGGAGGGTGTCACAGAAAATTCCGAAAGTACCAGTGATGGTCACAAGGGGCAACTCCCTGCCTCTCAAGATCACTCTCAAGGTCATAATCAGTTAGTTCCAGAAACACAGCATTCCAAAAAATATCAATGATAATCACAAGGGGGGAAAATCCCTGTTTCTCAAGATTATTCTCAAGATTACAATCTAACTTTCTCTTCAGCTAGTTCCTGAAACACTGAACCGGCTAATCCTAGATTTCTGATTCTTCCCTCCCTGCTTAGATTTTTGGCTCTATGTTTTCCTGATAGCGGGATCTGGATTTATCCAGGTCTTTCATCTAGTTTAGTTAATTTCCTGAAATTGTATGCTTCCTTTTAAAACCAAACCCATTGATTTACATTAACAAGAGACTTGCTGTTGAATTTGGCATAAATCTCCAGCCAATCTGGGATAGGTCTGTCTTCAGATTAGAAATCAGTGCTCCACCATGGTGCTGAGTTCCTTCTGTTTACCTGGTCCCATCACTAAGAGATCACCAGCCAATCAGAGCCTCCAGCAGACCCGCCAGGCAGATGGGAGGGCTCTTCCGGGAGCCAGACTTCCGGTTCAGCTCTCTCGTGCACTGCAGTTCGGCCTCTCTTCTAGGCAGATAGAGTGTCAGCTGGGCAGCTGCACCATGGTGAGTGAGAGGTTGCTCTCCACAGATGGAGGAGAGGCTGGGCTTGGCGAGCAAGGGTCTCGTGCACTGAGGCTCGGGCTCTCTTCTGGGCAGATAGCGTGTCAGCTAGACAGCTGCACCATGGTGAGTGAGAGGTTGCTCTCCACTGATGGAGGAGAGGCCGGGCTTGGCTAGCAAGGGGCCAATGTCCCTAAAGTAGGTGGAGCGGCCGCTGAGCCTCCCGGCCGGTGTGGTGACTGGGTGGGAGCCGGCAGGCAGACAGATTTAGCATCTTCCTGCCTCTGTAGTTCTAAACTTGCAGCTCTTTGCTGGCAGCCTCTGAATCCCTTCATTGCCCGGGCTGTGTATGCACAGAGCAGAGCATCAGGAGCCGCAGACGCTAGTGTCTGTCGTGCTTATATTTTTGCATGTGGAGAGAGATCACCATATTTGGCAAACGCGGAGACTCCTGGAGTCTCCTGGGTCTTCAGAAGTTCTGCACTTTTAACATTTAGGTTTGGGATCCATCTGTAGTTAATTTCGTGCACCTTGTAAATGGTTTCTCCTGTGTAGAGTAAGCGCTCCTCTAGTAAACTGTGATGTAGAAGAGTATAGTTGATAATATAATTAATGGTATAAGTATTTACTGCTTCTTAGGAGACATTAAGTCACACAAAGTAGAATTTAAGTGAGGGAGGGCTGCATCCCAAATATCCAAAGATGAGTAGCTTGCACACCATGCCTGTAAGAGATTGGTATCATGAGTTGCAAATATTGTTAACCAGGATTAATCGGCCATTAAGGTACATTCCTGTAACAAATGAGACAACCATGATTTACAACCAGAAGACCCACTTCTCCATCAAAGGCCTGTGACCTACTCAGGAGCTGTTATGGGGTCACAACCTTGGGTCCCAGGAGAGTATAACAATTCTAGAACAGCTGGATTTTTCAACTCTTAGGAAAGCAGTTGTGACTCAGTGTCCTCTGTGCTCATTGAGGTGGACTTGAATCCTGTCTGCAGCCCCACAGGGCATTGCCCTTGCTATCCTCTTCGATAACCATCATACATTCTTAGATTACAAGTTTGCTGCTCTACTGAGCTCAAAAATTACCAGTTTGAGTCATACAGTGCGACTGTTCATTGCAGTAACAATAAAAGGAATTTCATGTGGAGCATAGCTTCTCCCTTCAGACCAGAAAAGTAGGAATGGTGCACTGTGTTCGCTGGAGGGGGTAAACACACTGGACAATAGTTAGATCTTAGACTGAAGTTTAAGACCATGTACTGCAGGGGTGTCCATTACAAAGAAGGACCTGATGGGGCACAGTGAGTGTCTTAATATGTAATTGCCATCGTACATCAATTCCTTCCTTGTGAATGAAGACAGACACTGGTGGGTGTACAGTTTAGGGAGGAGAGCTTGAACTCCTAAGTATTTAGTTTCCGATTAGTGAACTCTGTCATGAAGTTATGTTCAATCCTGGTTGACATAGTGAAGTCAGTTCAGATGTTTGTGACACAGGCCATTGGCTGTAACTCCATGTGTCCGCTTACAGCACTCAGAAGCTAACATTTTACATGGGACAAAGTCATCAGGAAAGTGCTTACTCTGTTTCAAAGTCAGTATCACTGTGTGTTCAGTTATTTTTATCATTTTAAGAAGTGAAATATTGGTTATCATTTTTTTAGATTTCATTTTCTTCAATGGCATGACTGGTATAATCTGTTTCTATTTTCCAGTGTTTTGCAGTTTTTGAATTTCATTCTATTTTTAAGTGCTGTTTATTTATTCATCAGTCATTTATTTATATAAGTTTGTAGTAGTGGTTCTCAACCTGGTGGGCCACGACCCCTTTTGGGGGATCAAATGAACCTATCGCAGGACTGACCTAAGACCACCAGAAAGTGGTACAGATATTTATATTATCATTCATAACAGTAGCAAAAATATAGTTATGAAGTAGCATTAAAAATCATTTTATCAGTGGGGAGATCACTACATCATGAGTAACTGTATTAAAGGGTCACAGCACTGGGAAGATTGAGAACAACCGGTTTAGATTAATATCTCCTATAGCTCAGGTTATACTATGTAACTGAGAATTGCTGTGAACACCTAATCCTGCCTCTGCTACCTAGTGCTGGAAAGACAGTCCTGCAACTCCTACCAGGCTGGACCTTTACTGGTCTGTGTGAAGGAGAAATAGATCAGTGAATGAATATCTTCCAATTTCTCTAGATTTTATTGTGAATTTACAAATGATGTGGGACCCATGTTAGAAATGAGTTCACTGTCTAACTGTAAAGCCAGTGTAGTCACAACTGACAAAGGATGGGCTCTTGCTTCCCTGCTGTGATGGTAGTTGATATTAGCTGTGAGTAGTAAGGTGATCAATTTTAGATGTTCCATAAATGTCCTGTCTGACAATTTCATGGGTCCACAGACCACACACAGGACCCGGTGCCTTGGAGGAGGAACAGGAAGTACTCTGGGAGAATGGAAGATTTTATTAAACTACAAATTTCCCAGATTACGGTCTTGTCTGACTATAATGTGAAAGGACAAACCGGGAAGATGTTTGCTTTTTGAGACATTCAATCTCTGCTTGCCCAGTAGGGTAACTGCTAATGTAAGCCCAGTTCGGTGGTCCTAGAGAGACTCTGGTTGGTAATTAGGAACACCAGAGGTAGTTTCCAGGTTCTTTCCAGGATTCTCTTGTTCTGCTCTTGGGAGCTGTAAGAAGGAGCACAAGCCATGCCATGGTGAATGTAGGAGCAATTGTCCCCAGACCAAGAAGAGCAGGTTGGCTGAGCTGTCAGAGCTGCTTGGATAGGGATGAGCCATGAGTCAGACAGGTTCTATTGTTCTTTGTGGTTACCTGGGTGTGGCCTTTGGCCTCTGAGCTTTGTTGAGAGTGCAGGAGACTATGAGCTTGTAATATTGTTGCCTCACACTATGTAATTGAGAAATGCTTTGAAAACCTATTCCTGTCTCTGCTGCCTAGTGTTGGGTAGGTAGTCCTTCAACTTCTTCAGGACTGGACCTTGACTGGTCAGTGAGAAGGAAAAATTAACCAGGTGATGAGTGACCTCCAGTCTCTCTGACTCTCAGTGTATGATTATAGATGAAGAGGGTGAGTACACAGGTCAAGCTTGAAGCTAGTAGATTCACAGTGCAGAAAGGGAGAGAAAGAACAGTGGTTGAGAACTTTCCTACATCAACAGTAGTTGAGATTAGCATTGCAGAACCAGGTAATCAATTTTAGGTGCTCCACAAATGTCCTGATGGTCATCTTTTGATATCCACAGACCAGGCAATAAAGAATCTGCATAAAGAACTGAACTTATCATGAAACCAAATAGCTATAGTTACTGTAGTTCAACCAAAATAGATCTGTGTAATATGTGGCCCTGTCTAACAGGGCTGTTATTTTACTGGTTTTAAATATACACCCTGAGATAAAAGGTTTGAGAAATCTTTGATGTGCTCTAATATAAATCCCTTGTTTCTGAAGCACATAGCCATATATCCTGTTTCAACTTTTTAAAATTATTTTTTGAGATTATAACTATATCATAACCACATTCTCTTATCTGTCCCCAAGCCTTATCATGACCCCGTAATATCTTCTAATTCATGCCCTGTTTTTCTTTAACAACCGTTGTAATTGTGACCCATGTTTGGCTGCAGGATTTCCCAGGTATGAAGTGATGGGTTGGCTGCACTGACATTGGGTGTGTAATGGAATGTGCATACAAAGGACCATGTGCTTTGGATGAGGAACATGGTGTGCTCTAGGAAATTTGATGAATGTGTACTAAAGTACAAACTTTCTGGACTAAGACCTTCTCTTTTGGGCTGGGAGGGCAGAGCAGGAAGTACTGTGCTGTCTGAGTCATTTGATCTCTGATCACTTTTTAGAGGAGCTGATAATGTTCTGAGGCACATCATGGTGGCTTTAGCCAGTGAGGGACTCTGGAAAATTTTAGCAAGCAGAAATAAAAGTGGCAGGTAGATGGCAGGTTCTTTCCAGGATTCTTCTCTATTTTTGTTGTAATGAGTTTTAAGGAAGACCACAAGCTATGCCATAGTGAGTGTAGGGTGTGTAGAGAATGTCTTTTGATCTGTCATTTCTGCTTGGATTTGGATGGACCATGTGCCAGGCTGTGGTTCTGTTGCTCTATTTAATGACCTAGGCAGTGCTCCTTGTCCTCTGAGCCTCCCTGTGTATGGATTTCCTGGGGAGAAGGAGACTCTACAGCTCTGGCATGGTAACATATTATGCTTGTAATCTCACTGTCTAGTGTACACTCAGAGTTATGCTTTTGGTGTGCAGTGGGAAGACAGATTTGAAAACTGATAATCCAGTTTCTAGAAGTTCTGAATACTGCAGTCTAATTTCAAGTTTGTCTTATAAATGTTGCAAGTAGTTTATAAGCTGGTAGAACTACAGTGATGTTGATTTAGCAATGCATGATTTAAATGTTTCTAAGTTTCTGCTACCACCATCTGCAATGGTGTGATTCATTGATGTTTAGTTCCTGGCAACAAAGAGAGTTTCTGAGCTGCAGAGGTTTCTTAGGTGTGTATGGTGTTGGGCAGGTAGATAGGGCAGAATCTATGTCTTGTGCTATAATCCATGTGATAGCAAGCAGAAATTATTTTACATTGTTTTGGGATTGGGCATCAGTGGGGCTGGGTTTTCCTGAAAATACAAGGAGGTCTAAGGGGCTGCAGAACCATAGCAGGAGATCATCTCTTTTTGTAGAGAGGGCTCTAGAGCATGGGGTCTCTCTGGAAGAAATACCTATAGCTGGAAGGTCTGAAACAGGGTCTGAAACAACCATTTAAGGGTCACTTTGAGGTAATTTTGGGAAAATTGTGAAGTCTTTATTTAATTTCTATATACATAGAATCATAGGTAGCTGGATAACATTGGTCAAAATCACACGTTTCCTAAGTTTCCTTTGGTCTTTTGATTAATAGCTGGCTGTATTTTCCTGCCTTTGTTCTTGG